AAATGAGAAACAGCAGTCACTTCGTGTCGGTCGTAATATCTGGCAGAAATACGTTAACTTCACATAATTCAAACAATTGTTCACATTAAGGATCTTATTCCGTATAACCGCAGACGAGTATACGCGATATATTATATAAAAGCGTGCTCTTTGCGAATAGGTATCCTTTGAACTCCCTATCCCAATGACAGAAGAGAGCAAGGCAATTCAGCAATACTTTGACGTCCGCACTATTACTCCTGGTTATGCCAAGCTCTTTGTCCGCCAATCTCCTGATCTTGATATCGGAATCGAGAAGCAGTCGGATTTTAGACCTGCAGCGCCTGGTGTTCACCTACGTCGAAGTCGTGACTTCGCTCTGCGCATAGTTGCCACCGACAACGGCTCGCCATGGCGACACACATCAGAGGCGACTGTCACAATAAGGGTGCTGGATGTTAACGATATGGTCCCAAAGATTTCCGTCAACTATCTCATCTCACCCCATGTCTCACAGCAGATCCGGAATATGTTGATCGGTGGGCCATCACTCCAAAAGAGCCACGGAGTGGTAATGGAGAATGTGGAGAGAAGTCTGGTGGCCTTTGTCACCGTGCACGATGTGGACTCAGGGCCATGGGGTCAGGTGTCTTGCAGGACCGACAATGATGCCTTCAAGTTAGTTTTCATCGGCGGAAATGGCATTGAAGTTGAAACGCATGAAGATAATGGTGAAGAGGAACCCCTCTCAGCGAATAATGGACTCTCCTTCAAACTGATGACTCAGAGAGCGTTTGATCGTGAGGAGAAACAGCAAGTAAAGTACCCTCATCAGTGTATTTAGATTTTCAAATTAGTCATAGTATCACAGCAACTTTACTGAAACGAGATTCAGCTTGCCAAAAAATAGATTAAATGGACATTAAACATAGAACTAAAACAGTTTATTTGGCTGCTGGGTTTTCCGTTCTGAAGTGGTTTCCTTGTAAATGAAACATACGAGTCAAATTCGTAACGGAAACCAGATTTTCCACACCAAGGCGAAGTTATGAAACCTTATAGTTCTGCTTGACAGCATACAGCTACGTTCGAATTTCGAGATTTTCTGCCGTCGAAATGCCTTCCTTCTGGTTTTGATAGAAGGATCTTCCCCTTTTGTAAGCGCCTGATGAAAAAGGCGTAGAATAGAATAGGTCATCCATGGGGAGGCATTTTTTCCTTTATTGACATTTGAGGGAGTGCAATCCATCATGTAGTTGGTAAAAAGCTTGTACGATTGCATTAGGGACCTCACTTAATTCCATACAATAGAGTTTGGTAAACCTACATTGATTAGGAATGCCAATTTCTATTTAATTTAATAGTGAGCTAAACATTGCTGTAACAGATGGATATCACATTTCGCTGAATGTTTGTGCCAAACAGACTGAAAGTGCATAAGCTTCGTTGTGAGCTGTGTTTCACCCTCTCGTTGTGAGTACCGAAAAACGATGGCTAAAATAGTCACTCGAGATTGGTACTAACAAGGGGCAGCTAGTCTGCTTTTGTAAAACGTATTAATCGGTAGAAAAAGATGATATTCATGCCTAGAATGACAACCAGCAGCCCATCAAAAGATAACAACGCAGGAAGGCAAGAGCCTTCTCTTTAACTCAGCCAAGGGAGTTAAGTTTTGCCAGTACAGGAAATGTCAAGGACGACGGATGCTGTTTGTCATGAATTTGGACTCTAATCCACAAGCTTCCGGATTTAGTAACACTTTTGCGTCCTGTGACTGCTAGTTTGTTAGAAAATAGCTTTTTATGAGCTTGACTTGTGTTTCTCGCAAATTTATTTTGGTATACATACTAAATAATTCATCATCAGATTTGGCTCAATAGTTGGATGTGCTTAAATGCCGATTCAATAAGATATTTCACTAGGCCAATGGTAGTTCAAAAAATTGCCGAAGCATGTCATTGAGTAAATAAATTTTACCACTTTCAAATTCTAGAAGCCTAAAGCCGGCATGAAAACATCGCAGAAATCTTAGCTGTGCGTCCCTGTCATTGACGCATTCGCACCTATAAACTGGATTAAAGGCACGCAAAAGAATAAAAGAAGTCAATTTTATGTTCCTGTTGCCTTAACTGGTAATTTTATATTCAAGGATCAAATGGTTAACTAAAAAAGTAAATAGACCCACTTTTTTGAAAAAAAATATTAGTTAAATGTCTCTGAATACAATTTTCAAACTTTTGGCATATACGGGTCTTCTAGTGTGTTAGCATCGGCAGTGAGTTATGTTCAAGAATCCTTGGATAAAATTATACAAGCGACGATCAAGCTATGCTTTGTTTTGAAGATCCAGTTCTTTTGTCAAGCAACTAGGGGTTCATGAAGGAAGGAGTTGCAGAGATTCATGTAACGGAAGAGTTGTGGATGCACTACAAACATGGCCTTGTATTTGATATCAATAATCACAGACAAAGAAAGTCACAAAATCTGAGTAGTAGCAGACGGCTTTCAGGCATAAAGTGGTGTCAAACCCACGGTCATGACAAGAATGCGAGTTTTATAAAATGATCTTGCAGACGATCGTTTAAACCTGTGTCCTGACATTTTCATTGTCCTAACCCAAATAATGGTACAACGAGTGAACAGGACCCGTGTCTTTACCCTGGCGGATATTAATAATTTAAGCTTCTTATTAACTAGGTTGGACAACATAATCAATTAGGACAGATTCGCGCAAGACCGCTCAAGCAGAGTACCGAACGTGCCTCGCGTTTAATCCCACGGGACATTCGCGAAAATACAGTTGCTATAGAGAGGTTGAGAAAGTAACAGTTCTAAAGCGAAAAACCTAGAATCCCTATGTAATTTTAAATTATCAGGGGCAAAATCATTGAAGTGGTTGTAAGCAACGTCTCTGGGGTATCTAACTCACTGACTTCGAATATAAATGCCAGCCACCTATTCCCTGCAACTTGATGCATGGATGAGAATATTATTTGGGTTAGGTGTTAGGAAGGTATTACGCAGTACTTTGCTAAAAAAATAGAAGAATTCTTTCTTTAAGAGCTTTAATTTTTTTGAGAAAAGCTAAAAATCTACACAAAACGACACAAAATGAATCACCGCTTTGTGACAAAGGGTCGAGGAGTTGATATGCTAAGCAGCTTCTCCCAGTCCCTGAATGCGTCTCCAGAATGTTGCCCAAATGCCACTTGTGAAACGTTCTAAATGTTCATATACGCTCCATCCTCAAGCACCTCATGGGAATGAACTGTTACCCTTGGTGCTACACTTTAATAAACCTCCTACCAAACAATCAAGAAAATACGTAATTTCATTTCACCGACGGACGTAGCTCAGTAAGCAAAGCCAAAGTTATATTTTGATTATACATGTTTGTGGTTTTTGTGCCTTGGTGAGGTTACTAAGCTTTCACAGCTGTAGGAGTCAGGACGTGTTACCAAGCTGACATTTAAATCAAGGAAAAAGTTAAAATAACTTAGTTTAAGTCGGTCGAGTATACAAGCCTACTTAATCTTCGTGACGTGCGTGGGACTCTAAGCAAATTGTTTTATGATCCACCCTAATATTAGCTGCCTATTAATTACAGTTAGACTTCGAGCAAGCATATTTATCCGCATTATCACATCAAACCACTGCATATCGTTTGTCATGTTTTTTTTTCTATTTTAGGTCAACTTTCATATAATTTGCGTTGATAACGTGTTTAAGACAGGACAGGAACAAGCATTTGTGCAGGATCTAAGTCCCCGGGATTCCGGTGTTCTTTCCGGGGATGATGGAACCGGAAGCAAACCGTTTACTGTGGTCAGTGACAGAGCAAAACAGCTAACTGGGACAACTCTTGTTTCCGTCCGTGTTTTGGATGAAAACGACTGTGCCCCCGAGTTTAGCCAATCTTTATACACTTTTTCTGAGGAGGAAAATGTTCCCGATTTCGCTAATCAGCCGGTTGCGAAAGGTGAAGGAAAATCGATCGGCATCATTCAGGCCCATGACCGTGACCTGAACTCAATGTTAACATATACACTGCTTAGTGTACCTCAAGATGCCTTTCAAATTGATCCACAGTCAGGAAATTTATATATCGTTCGCCCATTCGACCGAGAAGCTTTTCTTACATCTTCTTACGAAGGTGTTGAGGTCAGGAGGGACCCGGCAACAAACGAATCCATAGTGGTTGCTCACTTTCTTGCCCGAGTGTCTGATGGAAAGCACTCAGCTGACACTAAAATTCAAGTGACCATAGCTGATGTGAATGACTGTCCACCCGTGTTTGAAAAGAATACCTACGAGTTCTTTGTAGATGAGAACCACAGATCACTGAATGGTCATCCCATTGGCAATGTTAAAGCTCATGATTCGGATGCAGGATTAAAGGGGAAAATAATTTACCGTCTGCAACCAGTTTCTGATCAAATGTTTTCAAACTCGACCAACTATTTACGAGATTACAACCCCAATAGGCATTTTAAAGTTGACCCGAATACTGGGAGCATAAGTACATTGCGTCCACTCGATAGGGAACGACATATTCATCACATATTTCATGTGGTTGCCGTCGACGCATCTGGAAGCCCACTATATCAGAAGGCGATCAATGAGAAAAAGGGTCAGTTCACTGCAACAGCTACGGTTACTGTCATAGTAAACGATGAAAATGACAACGCACCTTCCATTACTTTCCCTGCGCCGCATGCGACACTTCGGGTTGAGGCAGGCACACCAGCAGGTCAACAGATATTCACGGTGACCGCTACAGATCCTGATGCGGCAGAAAATGGCACAGTGCGATACTCTTTGTGGCAGTCAACGCCTCCGATGGCTGAGTTGCGGTCTCAAGAGGCTGGTGCCAAAAGTACAATTTTCGCCATTGACGAACAGACTGGGATCGTTATGTTGACAGAAAAACTGCCTAGCATCCCGAAAAAATATTTGCTAACGATTGGAGCCCACGATTTAGGAGGCGTAATTCAGCGAAATACCTCAATTACAGCCATTATTCATGTCATGTCCGTAAGTATTTTTCTTAAAATTAATACTGCTAAAAGTTGGACGAGAAATGTATAAAATTCCACCCCCCATGTTTCAAAAAATTTCAGACTGAAACATAATGGCTGTTTTTGGAGGTCAGATTGACCTTAAGTGATGCAGATTGATGTGCTCTATCAATTAGCTTGGGTGCATGATTTATGGGAATTTAGGCAGCTTCGAATGGTAGGAGCAAAGTATGGCAAGTATTGTTTTGACTCAAGGACCTTAAGATGACCTTCTTTAAATATCTGTTCCAGACTACAGAAAATAAGTCTAAGACATCAGACGTACCACAAGCTTGCTCTGCACAGGCCTATTGTAAGAATAAGTTGTTTAGTGTATTCTGTTTGCATTTTCATAAAGTGCTGAGAAGTAGTTGCATGTGATGAAGGTTTTGATGCATATTTTATACTTAGAGAAGTAACTTGGACATATCAAAGAGTTATGGACCAGATTCAAGGGCTTTAATAGTTGACCCAGACGACACCGATGAGCATACACTAGGTGGCAGCCTAAAAAGACTTCAGCCGCCCCCCGGTGGCCCTCTGAGAGCTCACCAGCATCTCCTCGATGGTGAAGCTGGGGACGGGCACTCCGAAGACTCGCGACTCCCACCTCCACCGATGCCACCTTTTGCCTTCCTAACAGACAGAATTATCATCTTCGTGCTATCATCAACATTCGTGGTCCTGCTTGTGGTTACTGTAGTACTCATCCTTCTCATGCGCCGACGCAGATTAATCGAAATGAGTACAAACCGCCACAGCAAAGACGGAATAAAGGGTAGGACATCTCGGATTTAGAGTACAATGAATCTGACACTGTTAATCTAACATAGTGTTTCATCAAATTGCCTTAATTAAGTTTGATTTCTGCAATATTTCATAGTGCAGAATATATCCCTATCTACAAACTGCAGCCTGGTGGTCAACCGTTCATGTGTCTCAGCTTATAGACAAGACATTAGGATTTTCCAAAATACTGTCTGAAGTAGAAATTCGCTAAATGACTGAAATTAAACGTTTATCAGCGATGGAAAGTAGTTGCATGTTTGGGGTCACTCAAACATTGCTGTTAACCGAGCTGGTTATATCTTAGTATCTTTCTTTTTTTAGTGATAAAGTATTGAACAGGTCACGTAGGCCATAGGCACGGCATAACATCTAAGCTTGTGGACAAACTCTAGTTGGATTAAAAGTTAATGTTTTATTACCAAGCCTTGTAATTAGAATACCATTAATGGGATCAGCAGTAGGATAAATCTTTGTTTTCTCAAGTTGACGTAACTCGACTCTAAACTCCGTGGGTAAACTTAAGATCGCTGACTGCCAGAAACTAGACTATTCATTAGAGACTTGGTCGTGTCGGACATTCAAATAGTGTGTGTTTAGCTTTCAATTAATGGAATATTGGCAGCATCAATTTTTCAATTTTTAAATCAAGTATTAATTTATTACATTTTTCTTAAATACTGGCTCCAATCTACATTTGCTGTCTTTTCATTTAACGCACTCTATGCAACATTAACAATTTAAATACAAGTCATAGTTTTATTTCCGCTAAGATGCTTGACAACTCGAATGTTTTACCAGCAAATGGAACCAAAGCTTAGCCTTTACATTTTATAAATGAAGAATGATGCAATAATCATGAATCTCGTTCATATTATTACTTGAGGCTTATCAAACTGACGGTTTTTGAGGTACTGGGTGTGGGAAAATGTCACGGCTTTGGATTGCTTTAACCACCAGGAATTACTCTTATCAACCGTGCAACACTCCTTTGATTGTGCTAATTTTTGTAGATTTTTTATTTGAATTTAGTCGAATGGAATTATGTCACGTCAATAAGTTGGCCTGGAGGCGCATTCATTTGAAATTGGCATGGATGCAGTTGTAAATGTAGTCAGATATTCACACTTTTTGGGGCACAGTCATAACATGATATTTTTTAGGTAAACTCTATGACTCATGAAATAACTTGCTGGTTTGGAAGTTAAATGTAATTGTAAATACATCATTTTACAAGGCGAATCGCTATATTTGATCATCATATCATTGCATCACGACATAATTTAATAGGGCTTGATTGATCATAATCAAACTAACTAGATCAAACTGCTTTCACTTTGTTTAATACCACTGCTGGGCATTCAGCATTGCCTATTCAATGTGTGAGAGCGTTTGTTAGTAGAAAAACACCGTGCTGTCGTGGTGACTCATCCGATATTCGTAAAAACCAAATGTCTTTAACCACAATGACAGGTTGAAGCAATGCTTGAGGTCTAAAATATGTCACTTAAACAGTCAGGAATTGCAGCCACGACAGACTGAAGTTAGAGTTAAAAGGATGGCAAATCAACATTGGGTTTGGAGGTAAGATTTTCATAATAAGCAGAACAAATACTGGACCATCATGCACATTTTATTTAACATGCTGCACTATTTAATGCTTTCTCTTCTAAATGATAAAAAATGTTTTTGAGTTTTTTTTTCAAGTGTAAGTCAGGAAAAATAACGTCCTAAAAATTTTCCAAGACAGTGATTGCACTTGTTGCGATTTTATGGTATTAACAAAATATTGCTACCAGTTAAGTTAAGTTAATCTGGTACTGTAGTCCACTAAAAATTTGTTCATGAAAGTCGTGGCAGTTTGAATAAACTGTCAAAACCCTGTAATAAATAAACATGATTCTGAACTTTCTATGCATTTTGAGGCTTTTTGTATTTTAACGCCATTAGTTAGCAGTACTGTAGAAATTATTCCTACCTTTATAATTCGTGGTTAATGCGAAGGAACAGCCAAATAAAGCTGAGTGTCGGTAGGCGACTCACATTATTTCACTAATCAAAAATGCACTTGCGGTTGTGCGGGCATCGTATCAGTCTTGTAACTCCTCATTAAAAGATTGCAGGAGCAGAGTCATATGACCATGGAAGCCTTCCCATCCAGTGTGTCGTATTGGTATTTTGAGAAAAAGTTTGTTCATAAATTCTAATAAACCCGTAGTTTTTTCTATCTGCGATGCACAATCGGTTCCAGTTTAATTGAGCAGACTAATTTTGTACGTTTACTCTGATCTGTCTCAACGTTGGCTCAGTAGTACATAATTAAAGTACTTAACATTAAGGAGCATGGTTGGACTATCCCTACTAGTTCAAAATGCCCACCGATTTTTACATCTGTTATCGTATCTATCATAACATTTAGTCTGGTACAGAGGCGACAGTCCATTTTTAGTCACTTGAACAGTTTAGAAAACTTAGACCTATTGATATTGTCAAATTAATTTTATCAGAGGGTTAAACAAACAAGAGGATCCTCACTGAACTGCGTCACCTGGTCTGAGGTGGGTTCGTACTTGTTCCCAGTAAAAGGCTTCTGCTAATTGATAAAGTATGGGACCTAGTAGGTAATCACACAACTTGTGGCTGAGACATGCTTAACAGTTGTTTGTGGAGCATCGGCTTTTCTACAAGGTCTGACATCCAGAAATTGTTTCAAGGACTTGAATGTCCAATGCACCTTTTGAGTGTGCCTTCTTCATTATTTTGAGTCAATTGACAATTACTTTATTCGTGGGGTATCCCTTACTTAATTATGGCTTTCAATATTATAAAGACAATTGCAAATTGGGTTTTAAATCCTTGGTTCTTGTGAGATAAATAAACATGTTGTCAACGAGACTGACAAACGGATTTCCTAGTTGCTTCGTCCAAAGTGTTTTGTGGTCCATTTGCTTCGACAGGTTTCATAAGTATCACCGACATGGTAATGCATGTATCCGATCGTCTACCTGCGCAATGATTACTTATTCAATATTCAGGAATGGTACTTGATTCACGAATATCAAGATCTAGTCTACTCTGGGGCAGGGTCTTGAGAAAACACACGTAATGCACGTGGCATGTCTGCAACCTAACTAGTTTGCAGTACTTCATTTCTCGATACACATCACTTTAGGCAAAATTGCTGCTACTTCATGATCATTATGCGGTTTGCTTTTGTACCCTTTTAACCAAAACAAGATAGAAAATTAGTGATGTCAAAAAATAGTAAGCTTATGCGGAATTCTGTGAGGCTGGCTTAAAAATTGGGATAGTTATAGTATTATGTGCGGCGTCGGTCCTCTGTTTTAGCCTCCCATATTCAAAACAATATCGATAATGCTGGACAGCTATGTGCGTCAAATGCGCTTCAAATGATTAATACTACTAGCGCTTCGGGTGGCAAGGCAATACTTTATCGAGCGGGGCTTCCTTCTGACGGGACTTCTCACAGCGATTCCGAAGGGAGGAGCATTATTACGGCAGAGACCTATCCAGCTAATGTAGAAGACCCATACACCCTTCTTCGACCCCTGAACAGAAATCAGACTAGACAAGTACTCCCTGGTGAAGTAAGTTTCTAGTGACCTCGGAGTAAATGAAAATAATTCTTAAATAGAGCCTCGCGTTACGATAGCAACGTTAGCTCTTATCATGAGGAAGCTAACATTATGACAATATTATTGAACAATTTTTTACATTTTAATAAGAACTTTAGGCACCAAATTTTGCGATAATGACTGCGCACCGATAATAATAATTTAGTCGTACAGACTAACGTGAAACGTTATTTAATTGTAGAAATTTGATTTCTCCAATACAATCTCAGGGACCGATGCTGATGTAAGTGCATTTTTCGTTGCAATTTAGTGTGAATGGATCTGGATGATTTTAGTGCCAGTCAGAATTTTTTGCAGCGCATACCAAAATAGAAATTTTTCTTTACAAAAATGTCTTAATTCCATGGCCTGTGTTTTGGTCACACATTTGGAGTTAATAAGTTTAAAAAGATATCTCTTTTGTTAAAGAGCCCAGTATACACAGACTGTAAGTTCAGGAGCGTATAGAGAAAGTGAATCAACCTAGACTGATCATCTTTTATTCGGAATAGGCTGGTCTCATTTCTGTATTCTCCACATTAAAAGACAAAATACGATTTCCACTGACAAACTTACTTCCTGTGGGCTGTAACGTAGCACGTGGTAGCTTGTAGAAGAAAGGCTTCGCACGAAAATGTATTAACACTCTTTCACCCAACTACGTTTAATAGGATTCCGCAAGTTTTAGGGCCTTTTTTTAATTTAAAAATTGATATCACATCGCTTACCGTACTCATTGAATATCCTCTCTAAGAAAGCAAATCCACACCAACCTTTTCCAATATTAAAACACAAGGCAGATGTATCAACTACAAAGACTTTTTGCTGCGAATAGAGACAATACTTGACCAATTTCTGCTCATTTTTTCTACATTCATCACATGCGGTGCCTTTCAAAAGTTCTCATATATCGAAGAAGGAATTTCAAGAAAATTTATTGCAAGAAATTAACTGTGAAATTAAAAGCGGTAACTGTTAGAAAGGTTAGTTGAGTTTAAGGCTATACTCCATGAATGTTGCCATAATTTTACTTAACTAGCTAGCCTGAAACCACAGATGGTACTGGTAATTGGGTGGCCAAAAGAAGATACATTAGGGAAACAATCAAGTTACTGTGTAAACTTAACAGGGCCTTTGGCTGATAGAATACGAACATTTCACTTATTTTAATGCTTTTGTTTGTTCTAGGTTGGGTACAGAGCATACAATCACTGCGTCCCACTGAGTTCCTTCCCATCCCTGATCCCATTACCCAGTGTGGCTACTTCGCGTAAGTGCTCATCTGTGTGAAAGCACAGTGTGATTGCCCTAACCTCTAAAAAGGCATTTGCCAAAACTTCATTGTTACTGTAACTTATTTCTCTGCAAAACCCTGCACCAGGTTGGGAACTTTATCCCTAATATTCTTTCCAAAACTGAGGTACCATATTTTTTGAAAGGTTGCGATTTTTGCACAAATTTAAGATCAATGCGATTGTTCAGGTAAAGTGGATTCCCACGTATAAATTACTGGGATTTTCTTGAAAGAAAACGCTTACATTTGAAAACATGGCCTTGGTAATTATTGGGGCACTTTCATGCTTCATCAGTGGATTAATACTCTTTGTGAGTTTTGTCTGCTAGATGAAGCTGTAATTCTGGCCCTTCTTCTGTTTACAGTAAATTCCCCATGCTACTAGACCAGCCACATTATTGGTTTGGCTGGCGAGAAAATTTACATTTATTGGTTCCTCATAGCAACCTGAATAATGTGAGGGTAATGTCTTAACGCTTAAGCTACGGTTATAATTTCTCGTACAAGACAAGTTTCGGGGTTCACTTACTTCACAACACAGATTTTTCCTGGGTCAAATCATCTTAGCGTGTGAAACACAATTCTCGATAAGGGGCATCGTTATTTTACCTATCAAATTGGTCCTGAGGTACGCTTAATTAACTCTAGCCTACTGATAGTCATTTTAGGTTCCACGGCTTAGGGACCTGAGACGTTACGACCAATTCTCTTTTGATACAAATTTTACATATAAGTAGTAATACTATGAAAATATTTGAACTATCAGCAAAATGACTAGACAAAACTAAAGTTCTATTCATTTGAGCTGTGAAGCAGATTTGTTTTTGCCTTAGATCACTAATTTATTTACTCATCGTTTGTAGTTGGTACTTATATCTAGTCCAGAATTTAATTTTAATTAGCTGTTACAGTTTGTAAAGTAAACACTAAGTGGTTGGGCAGCATAGTTCTCGTTTATTGAGATAGGCTGTGGAGCCCGAAGTTTACAGAATGTGTCACTGGGAGTTATTTAATAAGCGAGGTATTGACGTTGAACTCCATTAAAATAAATAACCTTTCATTCGAAGTCACACGAAATTGAATCACATGAGCGACCTCAATCTGCTGTGCCCAATGAAAAGTTTGAATATTAAGTCAAGTGGGGTGGAATTGTTTCATGCGCATCACCTTGATGCACATTTATTGTCAGCTGAATTTTTAGGCTCAACGCTATTTGCCTACAACTGAACAATTTGTGATTTGTAGAAGTTTAAGTTAAGCAGCCGTCACTGGCTCTAGATGATACCCGCAAAAGCAGTCCAGTGGCGTGCAAGCGTGGTTTTTTCCAACCCAGCAGACACTGTATGTGCGTGTGCCTTTGTGAGGAGTACGCTTCCCAAGCGCTCCAACACGGAGTATCTTCGGCAGGTGATTTTTTAACCCCACGCGCTTCGCGTCGCGTTTTGCACCCCTTTGCACGCAGCCTCACCCTCACACCGCGCCTCACCCAGTCAACACCGCTGCAAACATGTACAACACCCTCGGGGCTTCAAAGTAGACGCAGAGGCAGTAGAAATATGGCGGAAGGGAGGATCATGCCGGCCGAAACCGCTCCGATTTCGTGTGAATCCCCATGGGTGACACTGGAATCGCAAGACCTATGAAAACGCTACTGCTCTCTTAATTTCGAAGACCATTTAGAGTGCGCAATTCAGATTCGATGGAACTCGTTCCCAATGTATAATGAGACACAGTGGTGCGAGTGCTCTCATAGTTTACAGTTCAGTTACAAGCTCCTTTAGGCTTCATTTTGGCTTATTTAGTGAAATTCTGCAGGAATACTCGCCCATAATTATTATTTAACGAGGCATGTTGCAAATTTTCATGCCACCACTATTTTGAGTGTCTTGAGGCTTAAACCTCAGTGGCGTGTTCCATGGCTTTTTCTGTTGCATGTACGTTTTTTCGTTAAGTGAAACGCTAAAAGATAGACATCAACCATCATTTCGATAAAACGTAGCTGGTATGTGCCAGCTTTAACAACTTTAACGTTGTTTGATTACTTCAAACTGGCGTGCGAAAAAATTCGTTGGACTTAATCAACTGCATGATCGTTAGCTTTGATGCGGCGTAAAGCCAAACCCAGTGCACAGTTCAAGGAAACAAGAACGGGTAACATGCTGCCTCTTAACAGAGGACTGACAAGAATGACCATGGTGGAGCTGATACCCTTAATAATTAATGGCCATATTCTGATTAGTTCAAGCATTCGGCAAAATTGCACTAGGTTTAAATACCAAATCTTTTGGAATTGCGAGGCAATTCTAATTTTGGATTGTCAAAACGTGACTTTAGGAAAAACAGCCGTGGTTGAATTAACTTTAATTAAAAATGAGGTGATTTAGAGGAAGAAAACATTTTTTCTAATAAAAAATAATCTTAAATTATTTAAAAGCAATGTAAAGGTGTATTACATTTTGACCGTAACGAGGACCACACACTCAGACGCTAGACCCCTCCCTCCCTCACTGATTTAAGACAGGGCAAGAACCCGTGCAGCGAGTTTTTAATGTGCAAGCTAAATCTCGAATGATCTGTCAGAATGTTAACACTTATGTAAGCCAAGGGTGACCAAGACTTAGTGGATCTAGGCAGGTTAAGACCACCTCGCTGGCGTGGCGTTGTTAAGGGAATGGTGTGAATAATGACGAAATCTGCGATGGGCCGGGCCGCCTTGGGGAATTCTGGATCCCCAACAAGGCGCTAATGAGAAAAGGTGAGACATTTGGTAGAGAATCAATTTAATGAATATGTTAAGTCCTTGAACTCCTTTAAGGAAACTCCGAATTGTGACACCGCATGGAAGCGTGTAAATTGTTAGCAAGCGATGTTAGAATAGCTGGGCCAAATCGACAGCGGGTGCGCGCGAAACTGAGTAATAGGAGTGTGAGATCTGCAGTGGTGCACGTGATTACCTAAATATTTTTCTGGTGATACTTTGGCTAGTGAGTCCACTTTTAAGCAAAATTTAAGCAACAGTGATGATTAACAAAGAATCAGTACCTAGACCACTATCGGTACGTTTAGGTTAGATATTTGAAATGAATGATGCTATAAATTAATTTGATTGCATTGCAAGGGGTCTTTAATGAAATAAACATATTCATAGCAAACCAACTAACAAATGAAAAAAATTGTTTTCGTTTATTTATAGTGGTACGGCCATCCGTTGACTATTGAATTGGTTTAGATATTTCACAAAACATTATGTTTTCTTGGACTTGGGTTGAAATTTTAAGCCCTTTCAAATACTAGGCTACACATGAAACCTTTCGAAGTCTAAAATTTTTGGTCTTCTTTACCTTTCTGATAGAAAGTAGCACAGGAATACTCTACTCCGCTTCTAATAGTTGCACAACTGGATTTGCTCGTCCTTACCCTGTCTGTGCAGCCACGCACGCTTCTGGTCAACAGCCTGCAGCCAGGAGTGGGCAAGCTAGTTCCTCAGCAACTCGCCTCCTGTCTGGTCTCGTCACCCAGCCCCGTAAGCATACAACCAATGCCAGCGCCAAGGGCATCGATATGTCCGACTATGCTAAGATGCCGAGACAAAATCAAACGATAGGAGATGGGGCAAAGTGCGAATACCAGATTTTGCTCCAGCAAAAGGTACCTAAGCATTTAATACAAGCTACCGATTGTGTGCTGACATTACTACTAATACTATTAAAATCAATGATGATAATGATTAAATTACCTGGACTTATTGAGCTGCTTGATACGCCAACCAGTTGTAGTAAGTTTAACAGACACTGAAATAGATGTGACTGCTGGTGTACTCAGGAGGCGGGTCAAGTGAAGACGAAGTACTTGCGATACTAACAAATTCGCATCACCCCCTTACTTCTAGCCACCATGGTGTGATGGAAGAGGAGTTGTCAATTACAACCACGAAAATTAGGTATATTTTCTTGTGATTTGCGTACATTTGTAAGGAAATGTATTGATGCTGAAGGTTGCGTGCTATATGGCAAATCGGACACAGAAGAAGAAGGCGAGAATATACCGAATTCCAGTAGTTTGCCAAACTCTCCAAAGTCAAATTTTATTCACTTGGAGAATTTTAGATTTGTTGGTGTGCATGAGGCTGAACAATAAGTTCTACTGTTTCCCTTTTTTATTTATACTCTAACAGATGGCTCAAAAGTCGTCCTTTGCCCATTTGATTTCATTTACCATATGGTTAACCCTACGTAGAGAGTTGTCTAGCGTCCATCTTTGATAACAGTAATTCAGTTGTTTGTTCCAGGTCTGTGAATCATTCCTGACGGGTTGGTGGGCAAATAAACACTAAAGCTGTAATAAGATGCTTTTAAATAAATTGCATTTGTCAAACGGACTTCAAATATTTGAATAAACTCCGATTAATCAATGGAAACAACTTTGTAGTGCTTTTTAGCAATGAGTAAACCCATTCATAGTATTTAAATTAAGATAAAGTAAGAAAAAAATTGTCGGTAACATTTCTTCTCTGAGTAAAAGCTAGGTTATGGTACGAATTGTGTTAGGTTCAAAGCGTATGCCATTAACCAAACAGGAACTATTATTTTAGACCCCGGTTTGCTTGCAACGTCGGCTCTCAGCTGCCGAGTCAGTCCATGGGGGAAAGACGATCAATTTTCCATTACCAGGGGATTCTTGGCCTTCTACGTCTCAAGAAGAGAGTGAGCAGAGCAATCCTTCGTTCATTCAAAACGTGAAACTTATCAACGGGGAACAGTTATTCAAATCAGCTTCTCTTCACCCTATTGTCCAAGACAGCAGTTCTGACTGGAACTCCGATATGGAAGTTACATCGGCCTCAAGGAGTCCACCGCAGCCACTCAAAACGGTCAAGTTCTCGACAAGCAGTCTACCACTTAGCAAACAAAGCACCACGGGTGACTGTTTGTCAAAGACTGCAGAAGCCAGTTACGTGTAGTTAAATCAAAAATAGCGACCAGTTTCTTCTCCAGCTACCATTCCTTTCTCCTTCTTGTGTACTTACGTGTGCATAAAAAAAACAAAAAAGTCGTTTAATTTGTTTTTATTGCTAAGCCTTTCAAATGCTATGCAAGCGATTTACGTTAAGGTTTGCTGATTAACTGATGCAAGGCCCCGAGCACAAATCAGCAAATTTTTGTGTCGGCCGTTAACGACTTCCTCCATACGAACACCTTCGGCTAAACACACGAGCAAGCGCCTCCCCAACTAAGACAAGACTGGACCTCATGCAGAGAGAGTTTAATATCTCAGCCAAAATTCAGGTGACTTAACATAATGACCGGCGTGTAAATACCCCGTGACCTAGTGGACAAGCACTTAGACGACCTGAGACGTCAAAGTCAGGAAGTGAGCAATAAGAAGTGTGACAAAAGGGGTGAAAGGCGTGAAGCATATGTTTGAAATAAGAGGTGGGAATTGAACATTAAAAATCTCGGATTCACTAAGGTATTTGTTTTAGGCATACTGACATCCCCAACACAATGAAGCTCCTTGAAGACTAACCGGCCAAGAGTTAAGTTAGTTGTGGCGATTAGATGTATAATCATGTAGCTTCATAGTATAACTAAGTTAGAAAGAATAGACTTACATTTATACATCTGGGTCTGGTGTTATCAACTTCCTGAAATATTTTTTAAACCTTCATTTTCACCACAAATAAGAAGGTATGACCAAGTGGTCAGTGTCAGCCAGACTTGATTCTTCTTGGTAAACTGTTACACTCTGTTATACATGCAATAAGTTTATTAATTTTTATTTAGAGGACATTACTTGTGTAAAGTTACTTGACGACCAAAATAATCCACAAAAAGTACTTGACTGTAAACGAAGCCTATTTCTTCGTTTTTATATATCTTTATAATTTGGTCGTGTTAATATCAGTGAGTTCAGAAAATACAGTGTTTTACAAATGACTGCTGGCAATTTTACACAAGTTAAGAACTACCAACAGCTAGTAGAGCTCACAAAAATTCTGCTTCTACCATTTATTTTAAGCATGTTTCACGTCGTAATGCGACTGATGGCTGAAAATGGCTTTTAACAGTGTTCACACGCTAAGGGCACTAACTAAGAATCATGCGTTGAAAAGTAGTCGCTTTTAAACATCGTAAACCAGTTATGGATGGCTACAGGTAACATGGTTTGGCTGAATCCAGTCACAGATGTCATAACGATGTTTGCTTGAAGGAGGGCAGTAGAACAGAAAATAAACAATTATTTTTCTTGGGAACCGATTTGTCTCCGTTATGTTAATGGAAATAATTGCTTTCTTAATCATGTGGTTCCTGAATGGGTGCATGAGGGGGGATATTCAGCCATCAGATAGGGGAATATTAATTCCTGGTAATCTACGACATACTAAAAATTATACCATCTCACTTATTCCCATTATGTTGTTTCAGTTTTGTTAAGGCAATCACTTACCAACTAAAAATATTTTATTAATTTAATTAAGGGTACATTTCCCGCCTTTGTTAAAACGAAATACTGATAAAACTTCGGTCAATGTTACGCTTCATTGCTATTGCTTTCGCAATGTTCTAAGGCGACGGCTTTTCAGGAGATTGACTAAAACTATCAACTACAGTGACAAACAGCAAAGCTATTTTGAGTCCTAACATCTAGGCATGATTAGGAGTTAATTTATTAACCATTTATAACCCCCAGATGTCCTTGAACCAGTACTGAGATGGGAATAGCAATTCAATAAGAGGTGGCACGCAAATCAAACCAATTCGGTAGCTCTTACAAAAAAATAGAACAAAATTTCTGGCACTTAAAAAAGTTCAAGATGTCTAATTTGAATCAAAACAAAGCAATCAGAAGTTTTCAAAGCAAAATAATTTTGAAAATAACACTTCATAAGGTAGGGGAAATTTTCTTGACTCTAAAAAATGATTTTTAGGCTCCTTATTTTCTTCTAATCCTTGCTAAATTATGCCTAGTAAGTTAACAAGGTTTATTTTCTGAACAGGCTCAGGTTGCCCTGAAAAAAGCCCTACAAAACCGATGACACAAATAAACGTACCACAGCGTTTTCCTTGTGCATTATCTACTTTTCTGTTATAATGTACTATTAATGCATTGTAGAAAGGTCTAGTTTACGTTAGTAAATCGGAGCAAATAGATAACTGAACAAGACACATCTGTTGACCTAACGTTGGCACAGTAAAGTATGGTGCCTTTCCTTTTACCAAACTTGAAGGTTTTGTCTCTAGTTAAATGCTCACCGTACTCAAGGGAAAAAGACCGCTAGAATTATTCGTATGAAACATTACACCAGACACATAGCAACACTTTCAGTGGATGCAGCAATTTAGCCTTTGTCATATATTCTTCTTCTTACCTTCCCCGTTTCAGCTTCTTTTCCTTCTGTGCTATTAGGAACCCATCATTTTTCATTTCCAATTATGACTTGAGCCAAGAAATGTTCACTTAATTGATTGTCGAGGACGGAGATGGCTGTAAAAACACGGTTAAGTTTGTTTTATTCCGTCAAAGCGTGCAAATGCATTAATCTAGTTTCAAAGTGCATCCAAGTAACTTTAATCAAAAAATTTAGTCGAACAGTCAACACTTGTGTTCTCCGCTTTCTCTCATAGCTTTAATCTGTGGATTATTATTTGCTACATGACGCATCAAGTCATCAGCGATGCTGGAAGGTCATCGACGCGAAGTTTATCCCCAAGATCGAAGCCATCAATGTAGAATCGACTAATCCAATTTTATCTGTTCTAAGAGCGGGAGAACGATCCAGATATTTGCCTTAGATATTTTTGCTGCAGTTCGAACACTCACTCCTTTTCAAACTTATGTAACAAAGCATGACACCAATGTCACTACTTGCTTTTCATTTTGCAATGTTAGAGACGAAAAACAATAAATTTAAATAAAATTCTTCCAAAGATACGTTGACCCACGACGGATTTAGACAACTGTCAGTTAGTATTATAATTAATTGTCAAATGGGCATGCTTCAGCCATTTATGAAATTTTGGTACGAACTTGTGCAATTACCCAATGTAAAGCAGCATCATGTACGGATAAAAGAATAAGCGACGGCACAAAACATGGCAACGGCCTAAGGCTATCAGCGATAAAATCAGGGATCACGATTAACACAAGTAACATATCTCTTACCTACTACTTGACTAATTTCGACCATGAATATTAAAATGCTTCAAGACACAAGGCTCAAAACATAGGCGGTGGTGGAAAGTCTGTAAGCTCTAACTTTATAGCAATGAATGATTACTAGAGATATTGGAACTAAACACACCCACAAAATCAGATCAATGATAAAAGTTGGAAGAGAGTAACAGATGAAATAAAAACATTGAGAAGCCCAACTGCCGTTTGCCACATGCTGGAGAAGTGTATGAAGGCCTCTTTAAATGTTTGACATGGGGAGCGTCTCAATTACTGGCTCTGCAAACCTCTCGTCGAAGACCAACAATGGTTATTGACAGGCAAAAAGGTAACCATGGATGTCATGCCTGTCAAGGAGCTAGGGACTCCTAACATACGACCGTATTTTGCCGACAACTGTGAGGTAAAACGTAGCATCAAAATACATCGGCAAGAAAATAGACTGATGATTAGCTTTGTGAAACTTTGCTTTAGCTCGTAGATAGGTTGCAAAAATGCCCGACTTTGGAAAGTTAGGGAAGGGGCTTTTGACTAACAACGCTTAGTGCGGACAAATTTTACACTACTCGTCAGGTACATTCAGACGCATGTACATTTCAGGCTTTTGGCATAAAGAGGTCCAAATTCCTCAGAGAAAGGTGTTACATTACCAACAAAACACATCAATTATTCGGAAGTTATCTGGGGTTGAAGTTCCTTGATTTTCACAGCAGTTCACCCTTCCAATGATCAGCGCGTGTGTTCAGCCTCCTCCATCGTCTCAGCGGGGACGTCTGAGTCTGCATTTGCTTTTAAACATTATGCCCTATGTACGTCTGCGACTTTATACACATGCACACAAAACAGCATAAATGGGTTGGGCCATCGGAAAGACAGTTGTGTCTCCAACAACTTTGGTCCTAACCTCCCTGGATGTCAGCTTATTGGTAATCGGACTTTCACAAATTGGCAGCCCCAGTGGGCGTTAGAGACCCACCCAGGAGCCTTCAAATGGCTACACGGCAGAAAGCCACACGTTTCTCTTCGCAAAGTGGATTTTGTGTTCGAATACTTGGGCAGTTTTTGGCTTTAGTTTCCAAAATAAACTTGAGAGAGAGAGAAATCAAAAATTTGACGGGCTCGAAACGTGTGAAATGTCATTAATGTCAGTGACTTTTAAATTTAAATTCCGCTATCAATAATGCCTACTGTAATCGGTAATTTTGAGGAAGGACTTAGGTTGTCCGATGGTGTTTTACAGTTTTAATTAATTAACCTTTGATGAGGATGCACGGTAATGCTTAAATCATGTTTATAAAACATTGGTGCTGATCGGAAATAAATTTGCCACAACAGCTAACCTGTAGTGTTCTTCACTGAAGAAGTATATGACGCTGAAAGCGCTTATAGAAGTATTTTAAACCACGCGCTTTAACCACACTCAAGGGAAGATATTTTTTAGAGATCGTGATTTCAGGCCGCTGACCTCATAGGCGCCGTTTGCATTATAGAAGAAGAAGAATAGGATTAAATTAAAGAGGGTTTATAAAGTAAATTATTTTAGTTGAGGTAAAATGAGGACAACTCTGATGAACATTATTTGAGGTTGTGGCGTATTCTGCCTCCATCATATCACGATCCGTTCCGATCCAGAAAAGGGCCGCAGTGTGGATGACGAAAACATTTCCTCTAAACTGACCGAAAAATAATAAATAGCATGGACGGTAAAAGCACCGATTTGCCATAAACATAATAATCCAGTGTATTTGTTAGTTTAGCGGTGACAACACATGTACAGCCAATTAATAT